AAAACTGTTCGAGGATCTTCGCAAGGGACCAAGACCAAGGGTGAATCTGATTCTGTTCTGTCCGTGTTGGAATTTGGATTTCAGGACCTACATCTCCCACTGTCGGGAGATGTGGGCAGTGAAGCCCCTCCTTTACCCTCTAAGCTGTCAGGCTCCGGCACTGCAGAGAAGGTAACCTGGTCAGGACAAAGCCCGATCGCCTGCATGAGCTCCGGGCTGGCATGTTGCTTGATGCTTCCATGGCGGCCATGTTTCGCGCAACCCCAAAAGCCGAACCTCAACATCTCTGGTACTGTCATCCCTAGCCGGCTCACAGCTTGCTGGACTCGAACTTTGAGACTCGAACAGGGGTGAGGGTGCGGCCCACGACCGTATCCATCCCGAGCCTCCGAGGAGCACATCACGGAGAGTGCCTCGACACAAGAACATCGGAGGTCTCACTTCTATGGAATCGGGTTTTAGGCTTTTCTTCTGTGCGGGAGTTGTTCTTCAGGGTTTAGGACCGCAGAAAAGCGTGATAGAGTTTTAAAGCATCAGCTGCTTTACACTCTCAAACTTGGTGCTGAACTTGCAACTGTAGATTTTTCGATCCAAAACCATGAAGCACATACCACAGGACAGTTGCAAGCCGGGGAAGAGTCTGCTATGGCTTCGTGCATGAACTCATGAACTTTGGGATTCAAGAGGGGCCGGGGGGGTATTGGGCAAAATCTGTTTCGAAGGGCAGAGTCTGATGCTCCACGCCTGCGACCAGCGTTTGACTCCCGGAGCAAGAGCTAGCTCACCTCGGAGGGCGTTCCTTTTGGCTTTTTTGTTGGATTTCGCGCGCCTTTATCCTTTCAGGGCTTTGGAGTTCAACGTCGACAGCTGATGCCTTTCTGTAAGGCGCCCTGCCAAATCCCCAAGGTACCGAGCCTTATCAAGGCTGAACGGTTCGGGAAAACACCCGCTACAGACTGAATCCGAAACCCCAAACCCTGACAGCCTGTAGCCTCTGCTGTGTCGTTTCCACACTCCTGTTTGCGGCTCAGCGCTGCAATCCGACCTCCAACATTACCTAGAGTCCTAGAGAACCTAACATCCTTCATTTAAGAAATATCCCTTACACTGTAATAGGGTATGATTGAACATGTACTCCTAAATTGAGGTCCTGGACGACGTCGAACGCCTGCGTGGTAAATATCCTCCTGTTGATTTCCCAAGGCATCCCACAGAGGTGGCTCACGGCAATTGCCAATGTGCAAATTGATCTGGAGAAAGGCCTCAACGCGCAGGAAGCTCACGTCGAAAGTAGTGCTGCTGACCACTGGCGACTGGCGAGAGGCATGGGGATGCGAGCCGACGGATAGAAGTTCTCGCCGCGACTTGTCATGAGACGTGCACAGTTCTCGCCATCCTCAATGATGATGGCATGGTCCGCATCGCTTTGCTGGAAGCATGGCCCAAAACACGATAAGGACGGCACCATCTTCGACATCCATGGGCTGCGCGTTATCCAGCGCCTTGGACCCAAGAAGCACTGCAGCGATCTGCATCCTGAAGCCGCCACAGGCCATTCCTGGAGTCACCGGAGCGCTTGTGAGCAACTCCCCTGCGATGGTCTGGACGCGCACCTGCGGAGGCTGCGCCGAAGCTTCTGCTTTCATTCTGCAGCCTCTTCTGGGGCGGTGCCAGCACATCCAAGCGGCGAAGCATATCGAAGCTGGCACGTGCCACTGCTGCCTGAGAGGCTGTCTCATGCACCGACTGCAGCCGGTTCGCTGTTGCTATCGGCTGGCTTTGGCTCAGCCGCGGTGCTGTCGGACGATTCTACCGATTTGGGGCTTGGGATTACGTATTTGGGGCCAAAAGTTCTTTAATGGGCTCGAACTGACCTAGAGCCATTTGGGGGCTTGGGAATCTTCGGGAACTCCGTACTTTGAGTCCCTTGAAAAGAGTCTCAAATCTTCGCGACAAAAGTAGACCGGGCCCTGGAACTCATGCTGTACTGGACTCACAGCCGGCCTGAATTGGGTCTGCAACCAGTACTCGAGCGGGATTTAGAATGTTTCAACGTTATGGTTTTGTGTTAACGGCGGCAACTTACAGAACTTCCATTTCGGGTTGAGTTGCAAACGTGCTGGTGCGTATAATTGAATCCCTGAATTTGTCCATGATATTCCTGTACTGCAACGTGATGCAGTGGCATCATCTCCCCTTTTGGGGATGCCAACAAGCACATGCCTTGTTAGCTAAAACCTAGACAGCTTAAAAGTCATAACTGGCAACTGCCGGCCAAAATCCGAAGCCCAGAACCTATAACACCCAAGAGCCTGCAGTAACCCACACAGAACCCTACACCTTAGCCTCATTGTAAACAACACTGACTGGGACTGCCGCCCAGGACGACATTGCCAGCTACCACATCGATGCGTAGGCCTCTCCCCGACCTAAACCTTATCTCAAGCTACTATACCCCATTGTTTGTCGCTCGCAGTCGCAATGTAAGCCCCAATATATGGAGGGGCCCTGCAAAAAGTACAATTCAGTAGTAGGTTGTGGTAGCTCAAGGTAAACCCGAAGCAGTCGGCGACGAGGCTCACCCCTCTTCTACATATGAACCAGTCTCCAAAATTTGAGACATAAATCGTGCAAACTAAAGCGCGTAAACCCCAAATCCCCAAACCCAACAACACACCACGCTGTACTGCTACCGCTAGCAGCCGCTAGCACTGCCACGATCACTACCACTACCACTGCCACGCAGACCTGATATGACGACGACGACGAGGATGACGAGCACTACTAGAGCACGACAAGTACACTCCAGCGTGAGGACGACGACCGCTCCCCATTCGGGGCCAGGAGAGAAACGAGCCCTCGAAGTGGGATGAGGGGGGGGAGTGGGCGGAGGGAACTATTCCTGATTCCTTCGACCATCCATGGAAAGGATCAAGGTGAACATGTCCCTTCACACAGCAGCAACGCTCGCAACTCTGGTAAAGGCCCTTGCAGCTCTGCACGTCCACATACCACCTTTCTTCCCTAAACCCAACAACCCGAACCCTTGTATGCACGATGTGAGCTTCCAAAACTGTATTTCACAAGCCCCTGGGGTCAACAAGGACCGTCAGATTCGCGGTGACTGAACCGCAATCTCAGAACGCAGGACGCGCGGCCTTCCACTTGCAAAGCCGGCATCAGCATAAGCCTTCCAGTTCAGAACAAGATTGAGGCCAAGTAAATCACGACAGGGTCGTGGAGTTTAGTCTAATTTGCTCTCTTCGACTCTATTCATACAAAGTGGGTCGCAAAACAATACGAGTATTCGATAAATTTCCAGTGGCTTCTCCTTTCGCGAGCCAACACTCTCAACCCAAAATAGCGTCAGTTGCACCCTTGCGCAAAACACCTCCCTTCCCGATATCCCAGCGCTTCTCAGGCCGAAACTGCGGAAACGTGCGCGGTGCCTAAACCCACCAAAGAATCGCAATCCTCAAAATCCAAAGTGACAACACGAAACTTAACCCCCTCAACCCTAAAACCCCAAACCCCGAAACCCTAAGGTCCGGTCGAGGCCCCTACGCAGGCTCCCAGTGGTTGGAGGCACAACAAATGTCCAGGCTCGTAGTCAACGAGGCCACGCTGGGACGGAGGGACCTTCTTGGGGGTTCAGGGTTTGATTTGAAACAAGGTGAGTTTAGGAGTTTAAGGTTTCGGGTTGGGGGTTTTGCATGACGTTCTACAGTAGTTTCGGCTCTCGGCATGTTGCGGCCTTTGTGTGGAGCACCTGGGATCACGACCCTCGCAAGATTCCTACCGTAGATACCACAATATACCACCACCTTGCTGACTACCAAATTGTGGTCACGACCGGTCAGCAATCAAGACTGTCCACCAGGGCTGTGTCGTGCCTCTCTGTTTGGACTCTGCCTGTGTGTTGTTTCCGCCGGGCAATCCTACGATGCTCCTCTTGCTATCTGCAGACTGTGCAGAGTCCATGGGGTTTGAAGTTCGGGGTGTTGTGGATGGGAGGTCTGAGTTTGGGGCCTGTCTGACTTTCCGAAAGCCAGTAGACAAGAGTCTTGGATCCCTGCACCCTTGACCCCGTGAGCAACACAAGAAGGTCTGTGTACAAAATCAGCATTGTGTTTCAGACTATGTGTGGCTGCGGACTGCTTACGCAGCCGAAAGCTGTTTCGTGAGAGTTTGCACCTTTTCGACCACTTGTCCGTCTGAGGGGATTCCGAGATCCTGTGCTGCTACGTCGCTGCAAGGTACGACCTTCAAGAAGCGGCAGGGAGCCCTCCTCTCGCAAAGACGGTTTGGCTCTTCTGAAACAAACTGTTAAACGCCAAATGGAAAAACTCACCGTAGCAAGAAATTCAATTCGTAGCACATCAGCCTCTGTCACTCTGCCAGTCCGTCAGACGAGGACGAGGATGAGTGAAGACTCTGGCCCGGCAATGAGCGAAAAAGTCGCTTCAGGGAACTTAGAACACCGGAAGGTTTGTTTAAGTTTCTCTTTCTTTTCCCTGGTGAGTGCGACGCATCCTCTCGCAGCCAGAGGACCTGACGTCCTTTACCCATGCGCCTCAGATGTTGACTGGTGACGCTTGGCTCCGAGCTGCCGCGAACCACCAGAAGAAAAGAATCGAGCCGTCACGCTGGACCTCGTACAGAAGCTGCCGTTTTTCAGAGACGCCAAAATCCAAAAGTTCGCGATGCTCCTGCAAATCCGAAACTCCCCCAGACATCGCGGAAATGCTGCCATCGATCGCGAGCGCTGCCCTCATCACTCATCGCCTCCACCTGCTCCTCCAACTGCATGGGTTGCGCTGAACTTGGAACCGAGCCGCCAGCGAGCGAAGTTTGTTGCCACGACAAGCGTCTGGTAGTTGCCGATCTGTTTCAAGCAGTAAGTCTCAGGGCCGGCCCGGATGGCTACCGAATCGCTATGTGGGTCCCCGTGAGCAGAGTCCGCCGCGAAGTTGCAACCGCCACACCACTAGGACGATGTCTCATGCAGTACGGCTTTCTGGTGCGTCACTCGGGCATCCTGGCCCAGGCTCTGCACCGTGTCCTTCCAGTCGGCTCACATCGGCACCGGAGATGCCCTGTTCAAGAAACCATGGCCGAAGCCGTGCCGATGTGCAGCCTAGATCAAGCACACAGTCGGTGCTCTTGGGACTGAATAGCGCCGTGGCGACGTTATCAAACGGCTTGTAACACGCCCGTCCAAACACTTCGTAGATTACTTTCAGGTCGCAGTCCTCGCCCTCTCTTGTCGGCAGACCGTGACCTTGCTCATCCTTCACATACTGCCGCACCCGCTCCATGTCATACGCAATTGTAACCCTGCGCTTCTTACGAGCTTCGGGCTGCGCCGGTGTAGAGGAGGATGCAGGCTCCGGCGGCTCCGGCCATTCCTCTGCCACTGTGCACCTGGCCTTCTCAATTCTGTTGTCCAGGCGTTCGAAGTGGATAAGATTGCTGCTGGTGCACGGGCCCTTGCAGGACGGGCCTCTTATAACCCATAGTCCAGCGCTGGACTGCAACAGGAAGAGCTGCGGCAGCTTCCAGCGCTTGAAGCAAGGGCTGCCTTTGTGCTGGCCGAAGTATTGATAGCTCCCCGACAAGTCTTGCAGCTGTTTTCGGAAGGTGACGGTGAAAACCAAGGCTCCTGAGGCTCAAGCGAATCTGTTTTTCACCTCTTGAGGTCTGGTTCGCAGCACGTGCAAGGGAGCGGTCACAGTCTCAGACCCAGTTGCCACTCTTTGAGGTCTTTTGAGCTCGCGATTGGCACCTTCGGCTGCGCAGCACTGCTCAGGACCCAGATCTGCTCTGGTTACCGGAAGTACAAGAGCTGCTCTCTGCGGTCGCTGCGCCAGTATCTCACCCCACTGTCATCGGTAAGGGGAAAGAAATAATCCTGAAACACTTCCCGTTGCTCATGTTCCTGCGGGAATGTGGTCTTCACCACTTTTTCTGAGATCTTCGCCACTGCGGGATTGTCCACGCGATTCATGGCAACGGAGTTCGCGACTTCACCGTTTAGAGATGTTTAGAGGCTTGGGTTCGGTTTCAGGACTTCTGGCTTCATACATAAACTAAGGGTGTTACGAGGGGGTGTTGACTCATCTATATATGCAAGGAAGCCGTGATGTTGCCGCCAAGATCAAGCAGACAGTCACAGATAGTCGGCGCTCTTGGTGCTGACCAGCGCGGCGGCGGCATCAGACGGCTTCTAGCACTCCCGCCCAAACACCTCTCCGAGAACTCAGCCTGCATCTCTCCGGCTTCCTGCACCTTCCAACAACTACTTTGCCAGCACCTTGCTGTGGTGGCTTTTTCCAGGCCGGGGACTTGGGCCAAGCCCGATCATGCCCGACTGTTTTCGTCTGATCAATCGCCTCTGGCAACAACTGCATGGTGACGCATGTCTTCGCAGCCTCAAGCAAGCTAATGTGGCGGCCATGTTCGAAGATCTGCAGTGCGCGCGGATGCACCATGCCTGCAAGGCCGCTCTTCGCGAGAAAAATAGCCAAGTTTGGGTCCGAGCCCTGGACAAGACATGGGTGTGGGTCCCCAGGCGCCGGCCCGTCAGACCTTGAGTGACCCCCGGAAGTATGCACATGCAGCCTTCCCCGTCCTGTAATCCGTGAACTTGACGAAGGCCGGAGACATACGTTCTTGGACCTAGCCCAGCCGTAGGGGACAAACACGAAGTCAAAGCAACCCGGCGAGAAATGATCACAAAGCTTTCAGCCGTCAGCTTAGAGGGCAGACGCCTCAACATGCCGCCGCTCCATCAAACAAGACTTGCCAGTGAAGATCACGGAAAGCTGCAGGCGACCGCTCGTTCACCAAAATCGCTAAACAGCTAAAGTATGACATCCTGCCACCCACAAGGCAGATTCAGATCGATTTGAAAGACGAATGACGTTAACAGTCTGCATTTACTGACGTCTGCTGAGTTTTAGCTCTTTCCCAACGACCAAAGCTGAGGCTTCGAGCCACGATTGAGACTGGAGCCATGGCTGTCCAACAGCTTCGTTTTCCCAAGCCGCACACGCCCTCCAGCGAAGCCTCTAACTCCTATATAAATTGCCCTAAATTTCGAAGTCTTCCCTCAGCCGAAACCGACAGCCGCAGCGAAGCCATGGTTCGGGGTGCAGTCCTTATATTTCCTCCGCAAGGTACTTCGGAAGTGCATGAGCCTTCAACGCAGGAGACTGAAAGACGCTCAAGTGGACCCACGCCAAACAACAAATCCTCGATTCCAAGGCCCTGAGCAAAACTCCAAGCCGCAAACGACAAAATACCTGGAATCCCAACGTCGGTCCCTAACCAATTAAGCCCACGGTGTCTCAGAGGAGGGTCCAACTATCTTTGAGCTTCATGCTCGGCGTTCGATGCGAAATCATTACAATCCCCGGTTTCCCCGGATTTAGCTTCAGGGCGCAAAGGAGCTCTAAATGAAGAACAGTTGCGCATGACGTGTGAGGCATCTGTGGGCTGACCCGCCTTGGCCGCATCTGCGACAGCATGGACACTGACAGCTGCCAGCCTCGTGGATTCCTAGTGGGACAGGTGGTGTTATAGATGCGAACGTTACTGATATTCACTGATAGCCTATACATAGTCGTACTTGTCGTCCCATAATCATCACAAGAAGCAGTGAACATGCGATGTGAACAGCGAGCCATGTGCATGTCACAGCCAAGGCGGCAGTGTTGGATTTGTCTTTGTGGAATCCCTTGAGGATCTGGCAGTCTCCCTCCGCACCTCACACCGAGACTTGGGCTTCCGGTGCTCTCAAACCCCCGGTTCCACGGCTACGCCAGCAGAAAGGCTTCCCTCTCAGGCGTATCTCCCCAGGCTTCTAAGCTTTCTAAACTGAAGATGGGGCTGGAAGCTAAGGCTTTCGGAACTGTTCAGCAGGGCAAGACTACATTACATCCTTTGAGAGCACACATCAGGGCCCGAAGATCTTGAGACCAAAATCGCGAGCTGAATGAAGGGCCACGGTTCTACGGTTTTTGTTATGGTCCAACGTCGAGTTTGGGTTGTCGGCAGGCCCAATTCTCTGTTCGTCTCGGTTCAGCATGCAAATCGTCGCACCTGCTCGGGAAAGGGAATGAGCGACACTGTTCATGCCAGGCACATCCAGCCTTGGCTGCAGCCCGTGTACAAGTCTACGGCTACGGTCTTGGTCGGATGTTAAACTTGGCGGCAAAGTATCGTAAAGCTGCGATTTATTCGTCCTGGCGACATTCAAATCAGCAAATCAGATGGCAATGGCATGAAGCCTACATTCATCGTGTAAAACAGAACACAGAATGCAGAGAGGCGCCGCATGTGTAAACCAATAGACAAAGTAGCAAGACTACACCAATTATACAATTTTTCTGTAGACGTTCCAGAAGAAGATAGGCACTGCTTGCCAGAATACCATAGTTATAGTTTTCAAGCACGTGCCACAGCCGTCTTCCGGCAACACTAAACAAAATGCGAGCACGTCTACATACACACAGATTCTCCTGAGTCCGAATTGCGGCGCTCTGTCGCTGCAAATACGTAAAAACCCGCAACCTGCCGGCAATTGATACATACATACAGCCCACCCGCCCATCCGCCCGCCCGTTTGCCGGCAGGCACGCACGCGCGAACGCACGCACGCACCCACGCATGCAAGCACTCGCGCAAGCACCTGCGCATGCATTCAAGCGCCGCGCACCCCCCTCAGTCTATAGAGCCGTTCTATGTGTTGCCTTCCACTCCCCCACCCCTACTCTGCCGAGGTCGCAGCCTCACAGACGAGCTGGAAAGCTGGGCTAAAGCCGCCGTGGCCAAACGCCACTGCCTTGGTGGAGGGGTGTTGGAGAAACTTTGGAGGAGCAGCTACAGCAAGTAAAAGGTGTTTTTCATGGCTGACTACCATCAGAAAGGCGGTCTCAGGGTTCCTGCCCATATGTCAACTTCACGGCGACCCAGCAAATTTCTGGAAAAGTTCAGTGGGCGAGAGATCATAGCGCGAAAACATCAAACCCCCTCATTCCCCGACCATTACAACTCATGTCGTCGAGGCCTGGGCTCCTCCACAAGCAGCATGGCAATGTCCCCGCTGAAAGTGGCGGTCTCAGTCACTGGCGTTACAAGTACTACCCCGCTACTGTTGTTGTTATTGTTGTTGTTGTTGTGGTGGTTGTTGTTGTTGTTGCTGCTGTTGTTGTGGTGGTTGTTGTGGTGGTTGTTGTTGTTGCTGTTGTTGTTGTTGCTGTTGTTGCTGTTGTTGTTGTGGTGGTTGTTGTTGTTGTTGCTGCTGTTGTTGTGGTGGTTGTTGTTGTTGTTGCTGTTGTTGTTGTTGCTGCTGTTGTTGTGGTGGTTGTTGTTGTTGTTGCTGCTGTTGTTGT